TGTGAGGGCTATGAGAAGCTCCAGGGTATGCAGGAACGGGGAGGAGGGAGAATCCCCTGCTTCGTACCCACCCAAAGGCCCCTGAGGTAACGCCAACAGCGTCAAGGTCCCCACAAGACGAGGAACCCAATGGCCACCCGGAGAGAAGTCCCACATGACGCCTAGCGAAGGAAGAGAAGGACGGACGCCACTGCGCATGCGAGACGAAAACGCCTGGGTTTACCGGACGGAAGGCAGTTGCCGGGACTGGAAGCTGCTTGGCGGCGCGCGTCGGGCGAGGCGGGGGGGGGGAGGGTCAGATCTGGACGGGCTCACGGCTCCGCTACTGTAGTTCCCAGCCGGCTCTTGTGTATAGCGATGAGGAGGGAAGAAGAGGGGAAGGATGAGAAAGCTAGATTGTTTTGCATTGGACGAGCGTTTTATGCTTCTGTAAACCCGAGCTCACTATACCATGGAAAGAGAGAGAGAGAGAGGGACCCTAAAGAAACCGTAAAAGTGTAAGATTTGTATATGCAATTCATTTTGAAGTCTTCATTTCAGTTTTCGTCATATTTTGATTTATTTAATCTGCACAAACCGCAAATGAGTGCAGCAACCAGACAAATAAGTAAGAACCGGTCACTGTTGTGGCATGATCCCTTCTTGCGGTGACAGTTTCCAAAGAGCTAACCCCATCAGCCTGCTTCACCATGTACAGTATAACATGAACAACAAAGTATTGTGGCACGTTAAAAAGTAACAGATTTGTTTCGTTGTGGGCTTTCGTGGATTACAACTCGCCTCCACACAAACTACAAGATCTAACTGTGTATCTGTACCTTCCGTGATAGGAAATAACTGGTGATGAACAAGTGTGATAAGAACTTTAGTTAAATTTAGGGGGAGGTAACTTTGGTATTTCCATATATTTTGGGGCTTTCAGTTGCCGGAAACACTAAACACTTTGATTATCAATAAGGGATTATGGGAGCTGTGTTCTAAAAACATCTGGAGGTTCAACGTTACCCCACCACTTTGATTAGACAACTCCCCCCATTTTAAACATCATTTTGAAGTCTTCATTTCAGTTTTGGTCTTATTTTGATTAATTTATTTGTTATCATTGAGTATGATGATTTCATGATGATTGCTGCTAAAGAAGTATGATGGGAGATTATGGTATTTCCATATATTTTTGGGCTTTCAGTTACCGGAAACACTAAACACTTTGATTATCAATAAGGGATTATGGGAGCTGTGCTCTAAAAACATCTGGAGGTTCAACGTTACCCCACCACTTTGATTAGACAACTCCCCCCATTTTAAACATCATTTTGAAGTCTTCATTTCAGTTTTGGTCTTATTTTGATTAATTTATTTGTTATCATTGAGTATGATGATTTCATGATGATTGCTGCTAAAGAAATATGATGGGAGATTAAACATTATAGAAAGACACCATTATGGGTAGTTCCATTGGAAGCATTCTCTTACCTAGCAAGAACAACTCAAGGGACAAAAGGGAGATGTGCTGAGATATTAGATAGTGATTTTAATTTAAAGAACGAAGATGAATTGACAGAACAAGGTAGTATCTTAGATTGGTGGTCGATATATCGATTGTTGAAATCAAGATATGTAAAAAGATAAAGCTACAGGGATTCAGAAAGACAAAATACCTTTGGATAAGAGGTTGCTGGACTCAGAGGACAAATTGATTAAAGGTTTATATAATACTTTGATGGAGCAAAGAATGGAAGATGAAATTGTGAAGGATTGTATGGTAAAATACGCTCAAAGTGTAGGTCATAATACTAAACTAAGTGCCTGGTCACAAATTTGGGAGCGAAATATTAAAATGACTAAATCTATAAATCTAAAAGAAAATACTGTATATACAACATGTTTTATAGATGGTACACAACACCAGAGAAATTAACAAAAATGTATAAAAATGTTTCTAATAAGTGTTGGAAATGTGAAGAGAAAGTAAGGAGCTTCTTTCATATGTGCTGGATGTGCAGTAGGGTCAAGGACTTTTGGAAAATAATCCATTAAATGACAAAAAATTTAGGGGTTAAAATTGCTTTAACATCAGACCTTTTTTATTGAATATGTTACCAGCTACACTAAAAAAAGACTTACCTGACTTTACACCTGATAACTGCAGCTAGAATTGTATATGCCAGTAAGTGGAAGATTACAAAGGTGCCAACAAAGAATGAATTTATTGAGAAGATTTTGGAACTAGCAGAAATTGATATTTTGACAGATACACTAAATGATAGACTGGATAATAATAAATGGGAACCTCTTTATACATGGATGAAATCTACACCGATTTAAGTAGAATAGATAGATTAATATTATGTTAGAGAGTACAAGACAGGATGAAATGAATGGAATACATTGTAATAAATCTCTCTGGTTGCAATGGATAGAAAAGTAGAAAAAATATAATAACATATTTATTTTAAAAAATGTTGCTCCATGGGGTGCTGTTTTCCTTTTACAGCTGAATCCTGTGCATCTGTACTCCTTTCCTATTATAACGCCTGCCAGTATTAGCCCTCTCCTCAGAAATCCTGAAAAACACTATTCATTCTCACTGACTGAACTCATAACTCCCATGACCTGAACTTTACTACAGTCTATCTGCCCTTAATCTTTTGAGAGCATGGAGGAGCCCCAACATTTTAGAGATGAACGGAACAGTTTGTGACCCTTCATTAAAATTACCAATAACTTCTCTGTCAGTTCCAAGGGGATCTCTTTAAAAAATAAAGGTATCATCATCTTCGTTATCATTGATCAACATAACTTTATTTTCAGGTAACCTGCTCATTCACTAGGACAGCATGTTTTGCTGTCCCTATCTTGGAGTGCTGCTCCTACCCTGTTTCCCTGAAAATAAGACCTAACCTGAAAATAAGCCCTAGTATGATTTTTCAAGATGCTTGTAATATAAGGACTATCCCAAAAATAAGCCCCACTTAAGTGAAACCCCACCTTACATCATTGTGCAGCAACCAGAAAAAGATGACATGGCTGTATTCAAACAAATGTAGATTGTTGTAAATGAAAAAATCACAAAACATCCCAGAAAATGAGCCCTAATGCGTTTTTGGAGCAAAAATTAATATAAGACTCCATCTTATTTTTGGGGAAACACAGTACTTTCAGCTGTTTTTGTTCTAGCTTTTATCAGATGACCTCAGAATATATGGCTTTTAGTCCTACTTTGGCAATTATAACCAGAGGGTCTTTCTAACATGCCTTTTCCTATATCCAATTTATGCATCGCCAAACTGCCTCCCAAAGACAGAACTGGTAATATTTCCTAACAATTTCTGTCCACCCTACTCCCCTTATCATAAAACCTATCATTTTGTTGACTGTGCATGAAACTTTGTCTTTAATGACTGTCATTCCATTTCTTCCACTGCCACATTATTTATTTATTTTATTTATTTATTTGATTTATATCCTGCCCATCTGGTATATTTATACCACTCTGAGCGGCTATATTATACTGTATTGTTCTCCCTTATAAAGTGTGGTGTATATTTCATCTCCTTTTTCTGAATATGTGCCTTAACTGCTGAGCCTCTACCCTGGCTTTCCCTTGTTATACTCATTTCAAGGCTGTAAAATTTTTAAGGTAAGAATTGGATGAAGGGGAGATTCTTCTATGGTGTTTGTTGGTTCATTCATTCATTCAGAAAACATGTTCAGAAAGAAAACTTACATAGACATGATCAATTTATTTATTAAACACATTTTCTATAACACTTTGCATTCAAAACAATTTACAAAACAAAAAATGGGCAAAATCCTGTTCATGCAGGTATAGCATAAAGTTATACCTGCAGAAATGTGCTGGTGTCACATGCCCCTGGTGTGACCAATTGCACTGTTCACCAGCAGAAGTGCTTTGTGGATAGCACTTCTGCCTTAGCACTATTGTAACTGCACCCATTCAGTTACACAATAGGATTTTGTTCAATATAATAGTCATAATTAAGATATCTTGCAGTATAACAATACATAATAATATAAAGTATATCAAAACTTTAAGTGATGACAAGATTTATGAGATCAGTTAACAGATATCCAGTATCAACAGAATATTATATACAGGAAGATATTTGTTAAATATTTCATAATATGAAATCTAACAATAAAATAGTTTCAGCACATCAAGCCAGGAAGCTAATTTACCTACCAAAGATCATCATCTATCAGTGGGATTTTCCACAGAAAACTATTATTTGCTATAATATCATTAAAGGGCTGGCAGATTACACAGTCAGCATGAATATTGACAAATGTACAGTGGTGCCTCACTTAGCGATGTTAATCCGTGCAGCAAAAATCGCTGCTAAGCGATTTCATCGCTAAGCAATATTAAAAAGCCCATAGAAATGCATTAAAACGCCATTAATGCATTCCTATGGGCTTCAAAACTAACTTTAAACTAAAATCCTCCATGGGGCGGCCATTTTTGGTGCCTCTACAGTGAGGACACACAGTGGGTGGCCATTTTGGAACTGCCGATCAGCTGGCCGAAAATGGGGGCTTTGCGATGATCGCTTCCCTGTGATCATCGCAAAGTGAATTTTCCCCATAGGGAACATTGCAAAGCGATCGCTTTTGCGATTGCAAAAACATTGTCGCAAAGCGATTTCTTCATTAAACGGAGCGATCGCTAAGCAAGGCACCACTGTACTTAGTTTCATTAAGTTGACGAAGTAGACTGGGAGTCAAATTGGTTAAGATGATTTGTATTACTTAACACCTGACATTGTAAGCCAATCAGCATGAACTGATGCTGAGAACTGCTACTAGTTAAGAAGCTGGGGCTTATATTTCTTATTGCACTCTAGTCACATGACCTGGTGCATCACATGGAATAAAAGCACCAATTTCTCAACTAGTGAAAACTTGCTGAATTATATTTCACTGTCCAACTACTGCTATTATGCATTGTGGTTCGAGACTGGAGCTTGACGATAGAAGAAATCTGTTTTGTAGCACACTCTTCTTTTCCTTGGCATTTATCAGACACAGCTAGATCGCACTAATCCAGTAGAAGCCAAAATGACGAACACCATGATGAACATAGTAGTATCCAAAATTGCCTGAATGCAACAGATGATCTGTTTTCTCCTTTGAAGGTGTGAAGCTGACCAGTGTATCCAGGCTAAATTTAAAACAAAATAGAGGCTTTTTGCTATAGAAAATTATTTATATCTGCAGGGGGAAAACAATGTAAGAATCACAATATGAATAT